AGCATTCAAAGAAAATAAGCTTTTTTCTAGGCTGGAAATATTTCGAAAGGTTGTAACCCAGTTACGGTTGCTGGTTTGCGGCGGCGATGGTACTGTTGGTTGGGTATTGCAAACCTTAGACAATGTAAGTTTGCATTAGCCAAACATTTTTTACACTGAAGCATAGACATTGCATGTCACCTCAGCCTTTCAGTTGAACTGGCCTGCCTATCCGCCAATGGCAATAATGCCCTTGGGTACCGGCAACGATTTGGCAAGGTCCTAATTTTAAGTTAATGACACTTTTTATTTCAATAATTTTTCAAATGCAGATGTATGGGTTGGGGAGGAGCGACTTCAGATGAACCAATGAGTCAACTCTTGCAGGCTATCCTTCGCGAGACAGTTATCACACACCTTGATCGGTAAGAGATTTTGATTTTCAAATTGAGATTAAATTGGGGCGCGTAATTATCCGGAGCTAACTAAATGGAATACAAAGTCCTTATTTTTATTCGCTTTTGAAATGCCTTCTTAACAAATTCGTAACCATCTTATGTCCTTAGTTCGACCTATAACATGCGACCAAAAAGCAGACGAACAGAGAGGTAATCTTATTGCAACAGGTGGCGAATTGATGTGGAACCTAACGAGGCATCTCCGTTGGATTATGCGGATGAATTAAGTGATGCAGTACAATCTTCACTTCCGCTGACTGTCATGAACAACTACTTCTCGATAGGCGCTGATGCGCACGTAGCGCTGCAGTTTCATCATAGTCGAAGTAAGCGTAAATTGTGTTGATATCGATTAAATTTCAGCATCGATTAAATATATTAATTTGACATCGTCTTAGCCATACATTTTCCAATTAACTTTTTTTGTAGATCCTCTCGGAAAGATTTCTTGAACTGATTGGGAACCAGCTCCTTTAATGTTTGATCCTTTACTCACCATCTGCATTTCGTGTCTAAAACCAAGGGAAAGGCCTACAAAACTTTACTGAATAGTTTGCTTATTTCTGGTGTTTTTAAATTCTAGTAAACAGTTGTGACCAAAAATTTGATTATTACATTACATACTTAATGCTCTAATTTATACAAAAATTATTTATTTTCATTTTAGGTGCCAATCCTCAAATGCTAAATAGCCGTTTGAAAAACCGCATCGCTTACGGAGGTCTAGGAACCATCGATCTTTTTAAGAGAAGTTGGAAGGATTTGTCAGAATTTGTCTACCTAGAGGTACATAATCATA